GTATTTTTGTTGTTTCCTGTTCTCCCAGATTTATTGAAGGGTTTGAGGGTTGCCCTTCCCCTCAGGTGTGCAGCTCCATCCACCCCTGTGATTAGTACTGTAGCGCTGTTCCACCCCAATTACTATTTTTTCTGTCATTGTTACAATATATATTGTATATGATTTATATGATTTAACACATTGCAAAAGAATAAACACTACATGCATGCTTAAAAAACCAAAACATTTAACTGTAAAAGTTTTAATGAAAGAGCATTTTGTAGTTTTCTGATTTTGTTTGATTTTTTTCCTTGTCCTTGTGAGTGTATGAGAGAGCGATTGCTGTTATAATGATACTCTAAAGGAGGGGGCAGTTTGGGGAGTCTCCTGGCTTTGCTGTTTGCCACCTGTCTAATGATTATCATGAAGAAAGGCTGGGCTTTGAAACTTGGCAGATCAGGGGGTTTAGATTCCAGATGGCAATCCTGAGAATAGGGGATTCTGTCAAGTTCGTATCAAATAAAGCACTGTGTTAATATCCTTTAAGATTATTATAGTTCCATATACAACAACCACATAAAGACTACAAATTTTACAGAGATGTTGTTTTGCGGTATCTCTTATAGACGTTATGTTTGTACAAAGATTTTTGTGCTCATTCCACTTACAGTGATATTCATAGATTATCCCTAATGTCATACTAAATACTACGTCTGCGGTTGGTGTATACACGACTGAGTTTGCAATTTTCTTCGTCATGAGCAGAAATTAAAGCAGCTGCTGACTGCATTTGCCCTTGGCCAAAGCTCTGTTCTTATGCCATAATTGATATAAGCAAACTTGAATAGTGAATTCTAGGTACCTGATTGACAGCTCTAAGGGGATGTCTTATAACTTCAGCAAGATTTATAAGTCACTTCACTTATAGGTGATTCTCAAACCCGAAAGTGGGCCAGAGTACTAGCCGCAACATGAAGATTTCAATAAGACAAATATTTTATTTGCTTATCAGGATAATTTTATTTTAAAAATATATATCAAGATTTGCTTATATAAGCTGGTTTTAATTATTTGTTAAAAAATGTTGAGTCATGGCAAATTAAAAAAAGAAGGTGCAAAAAAAACATACAACACTACAGAATAGAACAGCAAAGACACTTCAAATGGTGATCATAGACACGGGAATATTCGTAAGAAATTATGCTGCTGATGTGACTCAACTCTATGGATTCATGTGTTTTTCAATGTATGTTTAATAAAATGGCAGGAACCAAGGTTTACAAGCATAACCTTGCCCAGAGCATAACACTGCCACCACCATCCTGCCTTCTTCCCATAGTTCATCCTGCAGCCATCTCTACCCCAGATCAATGACTTTTGGTAGCTACTAACCAATGAATACCGGGAACACCCCAGAAGACTTGCTGTTTTGGAGAAGCTCTGACCCAGTCATCTAGCCATCACTATTTGGTCCTTGTGAAAGTCAGATCTTTTCACTTGCCCATTTTCCTGCTTCTAACACATGAAATTCAAGAACTGACGGTTCATTTGCTGCCTAATATATCCCTCCTCTTTACAGGTGTTATCGTAACAATATAATCAATGTTATTCACTCACCTGTCAGTGGTTTTAATGTTGTGGCTTATATAACTATATATAAAACCAGCTTTAAATCTTATCTCTAGAAAATTATTATACTCATCAATATATGACAATTATGTGCTGAAAACCCTGTCTTTTACTCTGCATTATATTATTAGTACTTTTATTATTATTATTGTTATGGGGGGAAAAAACAGATTATTTTGTCACCGATGCCCTTCGTAGCTGTTGGTTAATGATGGTGCTTCAGCCCAATTTCCTTAGCAAAACAACTTTCATTATGTATAAATCGACATTGTGCAGTGATCTAATTACCTCCCAGTGGCATACAGTTACATTCCATCTCTAACGACTAAAATAAAGACGTAACATGCCAGCTGAACAGAAGAACTAGTCATTACAGTGAGGTGAAAGTAAACAGAAAAGGGATGATGGTGCCAGCTGCCGGCTTGTGGCATTTCCTGCAATAAGTCAATGAAAATGAATTAGTGTTTTGCTCTATTGTGTCATTATTAATGGATCTTATAAAATAGAATGCCGTGCATATTATGTTTCTTACAGCTTAGAATATTAATATTTTCATTACATAGAGTGTTGCAGTCACTAGACACAAGTCAGCCAACAAGGTATCATTTTTATCATTGTTGTTTATTGTGTTTTGTTGTACATATAAGTCCTGGGAACATGCTAATCCACAAAGATGGCACTAATAAGAAAAAGGTTATTTTCAAGAGTATGGGTATGTCATCTTTTTTTTTTTAATTCTTCATTTTTCATGCAAGATACCATCGAGCATTGTACGCCAAAACATCGATAATGAAAACCTTGGAATAACAAATATTAACCCCTTCAGGACGGAGTCAATAGTGCACGTTCTGATCAAAACAAAACGTAAACAAAAACTGGAATTTGGGCTACATGTCTGTTCAACCGTAATTCACCGCTGTCACATTAAGTGCACCAACACTTATTATCAAATAGGGCTTTAATTTATCATTTACTATTCATATATGGAACATCATTTATAATGAATAAAATTTAATAAAATGTGAGAAAATAAGATTTTTTTTTTAAATTTGTATTTCCGTCTGACATTTTAGCTTTTAATGTCATAATACTGTTAGGTTTTACTGCAAAACAATGCACATATTTGTAATCAGCGATGTCTCACGAGTACAACAGTACCCCCCATTAACAGGTTTTATGGTGTTTTGGAAAGTTACAGGGTCAAATATAGAACGTTCCATTTTCAAATTGAAATTTGCCAGATTAGTAATGTTACCTTTGAGACGGTGTGGTAGCCCAGGAATGAGAATTACCCCCATAATGGCATACCATTTGAAAAAGTAGACAACCCAAGGTATTGAAAGTGGGGTATGTTTAGTCGTTTTTAGTAGCCACTTAGTCACAAACACTGGCCAAAGTTAGCGTTCATATTTGTTTTTGTGTGAAAAAAGCAAAAAATGAATATTTGGCCAGTGTTTGTGACTAAGTGGCTACTAAGAAAGACTGGACATACCCCACTTGCAATACCTTGGGCTGTCTACTTTTGCAAATGGTATGTCATCATGGGGGTAATTCTCATTCCTGGGCTACCATACTCTCTCAAAGGCAACATAACCAATCTGGCAAATTTCAATGTCAAAAAAAATGAAATGCAAGCCTTATATGTGACTCTCTAACTTTCCAAAACAACATAAAAGCTGTACATGGGCGGTACTGTTATTCTTGGGAGACTTCACTAAACACAAATATATAGTGTTTTAAAACAGTAAAACATATTACAACAATAAATAGTCCATAAAAGTGCCCGTTTGTAAAAAATGCAAAAAACTTCACTTTTACTTAAAATATCATCGTTGTAATACAATTTATCATTTTGAAACACTAATATTTGAGTTCAGCGAAGTCTCCCGAGTAAAACAGTACCCCCTATGTACAGGTTTTATGGTGTCTTGGAGAGTTAAACAGTCAAATATAGTGCTTGCGAATTAAATTCTCTGCACTTTCTCCCTGTGTTGTCAGGCATGTCAATCAAATTTTAATTAATCAAATCACATAAATATGTTAAAAGATTACTTAAATATACACATAGAATTTTAATATATATGCATTTATAGGTATTTAAATTCTACGTTTATACTAATGTAATCTTTTATGTAATTATATGTATTTATCTATATATATATATTTGCGGTTATTTGTATTTTATATATAGATAGATATATATATATAGAATGTCATTCTAAGTGTATTTTGTTACCAATATATATATATATATTAATAACAAAATACAGTTAGAATGAAATTACATATAAATATATAATTTATATTAAATTTTGTTTCAATATTTTATTTATTTATTTTATTATTTTATTTATTTATTATTGTAATTATACGTATATATATATATATAGATAATATGTGTATATATCTATTATAAATATAATATATATACATATTATATATATGTAACGTCATTCTAAGTGTATTTTAATACTAATATATGTACTTATATTAATATTAAAATACACTTTGCATGACGTTACATATATATAATATGTAAATATATTATATATATAATAGATATACCTATATTATATATATAAAAATACATTTACTTTATTTTAAACATGTTTAATTATTTATTTTTTACACCTCCTACCAGCAGGGGGACTGTCTGACATTTTAGACAGTCCCTCTGCTGGCAGATCCACAGCCAGCTATAGGGGGCTGTGTGATCGCTCTTTGAGAGCGATCACATGGCCCCTGGGGGCCTCATTTGCCGGTGGAGGGCTGCCTGGGCTGTCAGGCATCCCTCCAGAAGAGGATCGCGGCGGAGGTAAGTCCACAAGACCTCCAGGGGCTGCAATTCTATGCCGCCGCAACGGCTTTAAAGCCCTTTTAATGCGGGACGGCATAGAACACCGTAACGGCGTTAAGGGGTTAACAGTGTTGTATAGCATTCTTATAAACTACACTTTTTTAGTATTAAAAAAAACAGGCTTAGCAAACACGTCTGGGATGATAATGAGTGAAATCATAAGCAGAAGTAGGTAGACTTATTCAGAGGACAATTGCTTAGTATACATCTTAAAGTTTGGTATAGGCTGGGTATTGTAAAGAGTATAACTAAATAGAGAACGGTATAACATGTTGTATAGCTGAATTAAAGAGGAAAACCACTGGGCCTAAGCGTATGTTGCTGCCTCACATAAAATGTAAGCAACTTAATGTGACCTTAATTGCAAGACCAAAAAGGTATTAAAGACTTGATAGCGTCCGCCCTCCATAGAGGAGAGTGAAGTTCTGGCGGTGAACTTGAAGCCTATGTCAGCTGAACCCCATAGATGGGAAGGTTGAGGTGTTGGGGGGAGGTTTTCGGGCAAGTATGCAGCGTGACTCCAAATGTGGGCAACCTACCATTCCAAAACTCGCTTATGTGCCAATTTTACTTCTCCTCGTACTTGGTGGCGTTTGTGTGCTAAGTCTCTCTTCCTCTGGGGGCAGCTTGATATTCGGGGCATAAGTCGCCGCCGTCTGAGGTCAGTCTGTTGCACCTTCGAGGCCAGGCCACTGCTGATTCTCCATCCAAATTGAAGAGGGGTTAGCCGAGGAAGTGTCTTTAGAGGATTGAGGCTTGGAGGTGACTTTCCCACCTTCTGATTCTTTCCTCTCCTGGCTCCCTCCTGGATTGTGGGTCTGGCTGTCATTGTACGCAGCTTTAGCTGGAATAAATCCTCCAGCCACTGCAGGCATTGATCAGTGGAGCTGAGGCGATCTATTGGAGGTAGGCTCAGTTTTTGCTTGATCAGGAAAGATGCATCTGCCATTTTGTGATCGTTAGTGTAGTTGAGTAGTGCCTGCTTTGAGCGGGAAGCGGAGGCAATCTGCGGCAGACCAATGGGGTTTGGATAACACCTACCGGTCCGGGGGGGAAGGAGTAGGAGGTGAGCTTGGCAACAGGATGCGATAGGAATGATAAGAGTGTCCATCTACTCCCACTTTAGTAGGCCGCAATGCTGCGTTCCAGGCTCCCGGCGGTGACAGGCTTGTTTAAGGTCTCAGTCAGTTCGTCCTTGCACCCCACGACATGGGTAGTGCACCCTGGTCAGTAAACGAGGTGTAGAGCCAGTGGAATTACCCTGAAATTGCAAAGTCGGATGGGAGCGCGGACAGCTCGGACAGCTCAAACACGTCTGAACAGCTTCGAGTTCAGGCTCCACTCCTGACATCTTTTTTTTTAGGTAGAGGGCTATTGCTACAATAAAATATCTCCAAATTAAAAAGTAAAAAATATATCAGTGTGACACTCAAGGGTGAAAACTAACTGCTCTGTCTGAGGGCAGGCTATTTGAGCTGTTGTCCGTTCTCAGTATTTTCTTGCACCCAGTTTTTATCTCTCCCTACATTTAAAGGGTAATCCAGATGTGAACCCCTTGCTCACAGTGCCTAGAAAATTATCGACAATACTTCACTGACAATGCCTAACAAGGTTGAAACATTTATCTGGGCTCGCAGAAAGAGCTGGCCTGCATTCAGGATCTATTCTGCCCTTTTGGGTGGAATCAGTCTGATACGCAAATGGCCTGGTACTTTTTGTAATGGCACAAGATGAGCTAAAACCAGCTTGAGATGTGAGCAGGCTATTTGAGCTGTTGTCCGTTCTCTGTATTCTCTTGTACCATGTTTTTTGCTCTCCCAAAGTGATTAAGAGTTTCTTCCATTAAAGTACGGACTCAGAAATCTTTCACAAAATTCCTCTGATTTTTTTTTAAATGATCTCTAATCCACTTTTATGTGTAGTAAACTCTTAACTCAGAGATAGATTAAGATCCCTAAAGAGCTTACCAGTTTGGGGTCCTCCCTTCATTCCTCATATATAGGAATGGTTAATAAGACCAAGCACATTCATGGTTCCAGGGCTCTTGTCTAACCCCTGGGCAGCTGCCTAGGGTTACCTTATGGTTAAGCCTGTTCTGTCTTAAATCTGGTTTTACAGCCCAATTCCACATATTTGCTAACGTCTCAGGATATCCTTGACATGTCAAATAGTGATGTCCCGAACGGTTCGCAGACCCTCCCTCCCAGACCCTCCCACCTCCTGGACAGCTCACTAAGAATGCAGCTTCACAATGAATGTAAAATGGATGCTGTCCAGGAGATGTGAGGGCCTGGGAGGGAGGGTCTGCTGCTGATTGGCTGGAATGTGTCTGCTGACTGTGAGGTACAGGGTCAAAGTTTACTCAATGATGACATAGGGGGAGGACCGAACAGCGCATATGTTCGCCGTCCGTGGTGAACTGTTCGGCGAACCGTTCAGGACATCACTAATGTCAAATAATGAAAGAAGTGTGGTCACTCTTTACACCAGTGAGTATCTAAGAAAAGCACAAGTAGCAAAAGCTAAAATTAACGTAAAAATAAAAAAAGGAGCTTACTTTTGTATTCTTGGCTGCCAGGGATTCTGACTTTTCAGTTTAGTCTTGTTTTACAAGACTGTTGTAGACCATAGTTTGAACTATGACATTAATAATACAGAAATTTGTTGAATACTTGATGATACCTAGTTTAGTAGTTTCTATTTTTCATTGCATTCTCAAGGTTCACCCAGGACCTAGACAACAGAATGGGGCTCCTACTGTCGGAGGGTTTGGGTCTCAGAATTAAAGATTAGCTGAGTTGGTGATATGTAGCTTCAACCATTACTAAGGCTACCCTCTCAAATCAAGTACACTGGATGTGTAATGGGTCTATTGAAAAAGGTACAAGAAGAGTAGATTTTTTACTGTTTATAGGACATAATTGGACATTGCTCTTTCTCATGATAAGACCCTCCAGGTCATACACAAAATATTCTAGGCACAGGGTTTATGTGGATTGTCTGATATTAAGGGTGCTAGACGGGCATTGGTCTTGTTTGTTACCACTTATAGTCCTTTGTACCAATCAAACTAGAATATTTTTTGGGGAAACAATGAAAAGATTGTAGTTCTAACAGCCATGATTTTCAGTAACATCCTTTCACGAAGTCTTTTTAGAACTAAACTCTCCAATATTCCTGCTTAGTTGATGAAAAAAAATGTATGTACAAGTGCTGGAGTAGACTTGGTCTATGAATGTGTCTAAAACCCTTTGTCATAATAATGTTACTAATAAGTTATATTAGTCTACAAATATATTGCAACCTTTACTAAATACATGCCGTCTGCCTCCTCTTCTGTACTGAGTGGATGAAATAGAATATGGAACAGATATATAAAGACCCTGAATGGGATATTTGGGCAGAAGTCATTGGACAACATTAGCAAAACATTTTTCTGGCCTACAAAAATTGTGACAAGATGGTTATTTTTTTTAAAGATTTTCAATATATGTTTGCATCTCGGGGCTATACAGATCTGACTGACATTCTGGGCTCAAGAAGGATTTTTTTCCTTGTTTGGTGTAAAATGGGATGTAACGGCTACCCTGGTTGTAGAGGGGTATCAGCCGTTGGAGACGTCCTTCTTCCCAGCAAGATGCTGTGCTGAAGTGGAGTTACGCTATCCCATCCGCTGAATCCTAGTAGAGAGTAAAGCAGAGCTCTTAAAAGAGCTAGTGATTATGCTGAGCAGGTTCCCTTTCAATAACGATTCAAGGCTACGTTTTGAAGGGTGAAGTAGAACTGATTTAACGACCACACAGCAGCTGCTTTTATGCAGGTTTTACAGTAAGGTTACCACCCACTGGACCTTGTGTGGCACTGCCAATGGGAATAAAACAGCCAATCAGTTACAATTGTACAGTAAAAGCACAATACATTCCTCCCCTCTGCTTAGGAGGTAATTGAGTTAATCATTATATCAGCTCAATTATCTCCAAGCTAAACAATATAATTTTAGGCTTTTTCCCCCATAACTTTAAAACTATACATAGGATCTTAATAGTTACATTTCAATAGCCAATACATTCATGGGAACAACATATCCAAAAATGGCACGAATTGGACCAGTGGTTCGGGAGTTAGTGAAAAGGTGGATGTGACCGACCGACCGCTCGCACATTTCTCTGCCCAAAATAGTTCCACAGTTTCAGTCTCTCTGGTCGGTCTATTCTCCCTTTGTAATAAGTCTAAAATCCACGAACGAAACTGGATGTAGTTCGTTCGAATGAACAAACTCACGAATTAGCACCTTGTTCGTATTAGTTTTGTCCAACACACAGAAGGTAGAAGTTCAGTGGTGTTCGTGGAAAAAATTAGCCAAAAACAGTTCCACGCGGTCAACGACAAAACACAGCTGAGTGCGTTCGACTAAACAAAATGGCCGCTGCCACGTGTTCACACAAACGAACGCCGGCCACCCTGTTAATCCATTAGAATGTTGAGGTGTTTGCGGTTTACACGGGTCAAGAGGGTTAATTGGTGCCACACTCCTGCTCTGGGTGGTTGGTCGTTCGACAGAAAATTCTGTATACGAACTATATGGCCAAATACACGAATAATCCTTTTGAGTGAATGCAAATAAAATGAATAGTCTTTGTTCACAGTTCCATGCAGTAAATATAAAGCTTAATAGGGGTTTTGGTGCACACAGTTGGGTTAGGGTTTCCAGGCAATAATAGGGGGTTTTGTTACATGGGAAGGTGCTTCAGACTGTTTTTTTTATGCCTTCTTTTGGATTAACAGCAAAAACAGATGTGAGAAAGGCTGAACTTGATGGGCACATGTCTCTTTTCAGCTATGTAGCTGTGCCAATATCAAAGACAGATTTTATAAAGGAAAATATAGTTACAAAGTATTCTGTGTAGGCAGCAAACAGAGTAGATAGCTCATCATTAATTGGAGCACTAATTTAAAAAGGCTGAGTTTACCTCTTTTTTCAGTGGGTGTTATTCTCCCATCCTCCTACATAAAGGTTTCTGGCACAGCGAGGAGAAGATGTTGATTTGGACTTCTGAGCTAATGATAAAATCTTTGAGCACTTGATGAGTAAGGCAGTTACTGGCACTACGCATCCATCGTCAGTCATGTGCAAAACTGGGTCTTCTATATCTTCCCTAGCTCACCGTCTAAGATTCTCAATGCGGGTAATTCTGCTACTCCTTTTAATTTGCTTTTGGCAAGTTTTCATGAATTCTAATTAATATTAATCAAAGCCATCTGTTACCCATATAAACAAAAAAATAAATAAGGGTTCCATAGGCACAAATACTATGCTGGATCTAGCAATACACCTAGGCATTATATTGCAAGAGAGAAATCAAATATAAATTTGGGGGACCCGAATATACTAACTTTATAGTGCCATGCCCAACCCCACTCGCCATGTTATGGTACAGTCCACCCATCAATGTGTTTTTATAGAAACTGGAGGAACTCCAAATCTTTACTGGGAAGGGGGTAAATGATTTATCCTGGATTTACTGATATAAACAGGACAATCCTGTCTAATTTCTCCCACATGTATTAAATATTTAATTAGTCCACTATCATTGCATGTCCTTCACAATATAATTTCCCCTTTTATCTCTTTTTAATCTGATCAGTACTTTTTTAATTCCTACGCAGCAAGATCATTCTTCAGAGAACTGTAGGCTTCTATTTTATTTTCCAAAACATTTTATTATTTTAAATGCAACAGAAAAACACAAAGGGTATCAGGATTACATTACCGAACACCCTAATAAATATTTGCACAGAGAAGATGAATATCACAATTCTTTTAGTATATTTTATTTGAAACAACTAGTTATCAATGTACCGTGGTGTTCTGCTCAAAGCAATCTTGTTCAATATGAAATTTCAGACAACTAAAAAGCTGGATCGGTATGCTAAGCAGGGCAAAGTGTAAGATCCAGTCTGCAGGTACCTTTGTTCAAATGTCAATAAATTCAATAACACCCATCTGGCATGTTCTCCAGCCTCATAATTGCAATGTTGAAAGTTAGGGCTCAAGTTATGATTCATATGGAAAGATAAGAGTATTACACATTGGATACATAAATATGACAA